TATTCAAATCAGATTGATCGCGAATAGATTTAGGTTCGTTATAAAATGCAAATTTGCATTAATATTTATTATCTTTATCATTATCATTATTTGTCTGGGTGACCAAGGGATCCCGAGCGAGAATTGTTATCAATTCGTGTAACAATAGATAAATAAGTCTATTTATATAATAAGAAAGTTTACACCAACAAAAAATTTTCCTCACTCCTTTTTTTTTCAAAATGTTATCAACAATACCTTATGATTGTATTGAAAATATCTTTGGATACTTGGACTATAAGAACAAAGGATCACTTTATTCGTGTAGTTTGGTTAACAAATATCTGTGTGAGGTTGCTATACCATTCATATGGGAAGATCCATTCTATTCGGTGAAAAGCACCAGAATATTAATCAACTGTTTATCAAAGGAATCAAAAAAACTTTTAGAAGCCAAAAATATTGACTTTACATTCAATCTATTGGAAAAACCCACTTTACACAACTACGCAATGTTTGCTAAAACATTATTTATTTATAGTTTTAATGGGTTTAATGAGTTGATCAAAGGATGTAGTAATGATCACAAATTGAAAAAGCTGAAACTGTTGATTATCGAGTTGTTGAAATTGATTATTAAACATTCAAGAATCAAATCATTACATTCAACATTTCTAGACAATTTTGCTTCTTTAAATCAAACACCTAGATTTCATGATTGTTTTTTAAATCTTTCCAGTTTATATTGTTCTGATAAAGAAAATCCATCTTTTTTTTATCAGCTGGCACAAGTTTCTAGAAATATTCAGTTACTATATATTAAAATTCTCAATCCTTCCGTTTTTGATCCTTCTTCTTCTGCCACTAACAATGACAACGATGGATTAATTAAATTAATCAGAGTGCAAAATAATATTAAAAATATATATATAAAAGTAATTAACAAAGCTTTATTATCATACGGAATCGTAGATGCGCTATTAACTCATCAGAGTTCATCGATAGACTATTATGATGACATATGCAACGATAGAAATTATTTTATAAAAAGACTCTACAACAATTTAGAATCATTTTACCTGACTGACTTTTGTCTGAAAAATCGCTACAACAAAAATAATATAATAAGGAGGTTAAGCAATAAAAACATTTATGATGATAATGATAACAATAATAATAAAAATAGTATTATTACTGCTGATTCATCATCATCATCATCATCATCGTCGTCGTCGTCGTCGTCGTTATCATCATCTTTGCCTTTATCTTTTCCAAATCTTAAAAAATTATCTATTCATACCTTCTTTCGAACTTATATATTAGAGACTTGTGATTTTATTGGTATAAATGGAAAAACTCTTCAGATCCTAATTATTAAAAGTGAAAGGCTCGAGGAACAAAGTGTCAGAAGAACATTACAAGCAATTGGTGATAACTGTTACAATTTAAAAACTTTATCAATATCATATAATAATAATTTATCTTATGAGTTGAGCAAGATGATAGAACGTTGTAATAAATTAGAAAAAATAGCGTTGGATATAATTTACTATGAAGATGAAATTTTGGATTGTAATAAAGTATTTAATGTTTTAAGTCGAATATTATTACCAACAAATTTAAAATTAATTGTTTTTTGGGGGGAAGTTTCTTTATCCAACCACAACCTGTCACTAGATAAGTTAATAAAGAACTGGAAAAATTTTTGGAAAAACGAAGGACCTCTTTGTATCAAATTTTATAAAGATACGTTTATTGATCAGTCCATACTTGATAATTATCAAAATCTAAGGTGTATAAAAATCGAATTTGTAGATAACAACTTTGATTCTTTAGATTGGTTTGATGATGATGTGTCATGACAATAATATTAGAATGGAAATTAATCGTATGATAAAAAAAATAAATATAAAATTTAGCATGGGAAAAAATATAAAAAAATAACCTGATGTTTTTAATTTGTATTTTTATGAAAAACAATGCATGCATATCGCGTGACTTTTAACAAAAAAAATGTGGGAAAAAAAAAAAAATAACGGCATATATAAAAAACTCGAATTTCTGGGGAAAAAAAAAAATAATTTTTTTTAAAAAAAAACAAAAATTTTAAAACAACAATTTTAAAACAATTAAAACAATTTTAAAACAATTAAAATTTTAAAACAATTAAAACAATTTAAATAAAATGATTAAAGAACAAATCCATACTGATAAAAACATACAGCAATGTGAATTTGTTCCTAATGATCCGTTTTTTGATATCGAACAAAATGCCATGGAGATTTTTGAAAGTGGTAATTATTTATCATCATCATCATCATTATTTATTTTAGGGCTGGCCGCATAACCTAAATGAACATTTGGCTAACTGATTAAACTATTTAGTCATTATGTTAAGTCAAATTTAGTAAGGCAACTATCACCAAATTAGGATTTTAACCCCTTTGCTGGTCCACGTATTACGCTACAAAAAAATTCTTTTCACTTTTGGCTTTTGATTAAATTACGTAGTAATTTAATTTATTCTAAAAAGCGGATATTTAATTTGAGTAGAGTAACATAATGATTTGATAATGATAATTATAAAAAATTCTACGTTTTGTAATTATGAAAATTTATGTCAGTACACTCTCTCTATAACGACCTTTTCTATAACGGTCTACATTCTATAACGAACTGAAAATTGGATCCCAATTTTTTACTATACAAAAACCCTACTCTATAACGGTCTTCTTAATTAAATTTCTTATAGTGTATAACGGCCTGTCTCTGAAGTTCGCCTATATTAATATGTTTTACTGTCTATACATAACGGCCGACGATCATGATCTGAAACTATAATTGCTATATTAGGAAATTTTCTATACCACATCAAATTAACTATATAGTTACTAATAAAATTATTCAGGATTACTAATCTGAATACAATATGTTTATTATAACAACGGAAAATTTTGAATGCCATCTAACCACCCCAATTTGAGTCCATTTACAATGTTTAAAATAGATAATGAAACACGAGATTAATTATTAAATTTTGACAATCTTTCACGTTTACTACTATTTTTACTTCTTTGAAAAACAACTCATGAAATGACAACCTCCAAGCAAGAAACTCAATGTCAAACCTTATTACATTTGTGGAATGAGGGTGTACAAGATGCTAAAGAAATACATAGAAGAACAAATATACCCCTCTCCACTATATATGATAACCTTAAAAAGCTCAAGAATTCAGGAACAACACAGTGTACACATGGTAACGGTTGGCCAAAGAAGATCACAGCAAATGCTTCAAGGGCGTTAGGACAATATATTTGTAGGGATTACTCTATTTCAACAAGAACTTTGGCAACAAAGTTATCAAATACAGGTATAGAGGTATCCTATAGAACGATTGGAAGGCATTTAAAACTTTTTCATCATCAAAATCTGGTCTGGGATTGAGATTGTTTCATAAAGATCATGAAATTCACTGGTTGTAGTTTTATCCAAAAATGATACTTATATTAATACCATTATTATTATCAGAATTTTGAAATTAGTTTTAATTGGAAAAATTACGCATTAATAGAAATCAGATTCAAACCGAATTCAACCTCTTTTTTAAGAACCAATTATCCGTTTTCAAAGTGGTTTATGGATTCAAACCAATTTGAGCCAAACCAGACTCAAACTCTACCCATTTTATAGTAATCCAGACTCCTAACAAGATTCACTGTAACAAGCTTTGATTGTGTACTAAGAAATTTTTATTAATGAAATAAAAATATATGCAATAATAATAGTAAATTCATTTTATCATATAATAATCTTCCATTCTTGTTTGTGCTTTTTTTTAAAGAACTTTTATATAAGAAATTTCTCTTGAAACTTCTATTTGAAAATCCAATATTCTAAATTTTTTTGTTGTACATATTAATATGTAACTTCCTCATTATTATACATATTAGGGTATTCAAAGCAGTTCTATTCTGTTTCTCGTTCCTTGCTGTACAATACTTATTAGGTGGTGGAAACCAAGATCAGCTTTGAGCAGAAAACTTCCTGGTTCCATAAACTTTATTATAGTGCTGGTTTACACAATAAAATTTATGCATTTTTTTACCAACATATAAAACTCATTATTGACTTTTGTGTATAATTAATATAAATAATAATGATGTTTGTCAGTATTAAAGAAAACCACATCTCTGAAACTGGTCAAACAATCCATCTTTGTTGCTGACGATAATATTGATATAAATTATTAATAGAGGAAGTTACCAGGAAAGTCACTGTAAACTGATTTATAATTCATTTCTGTTGGTAGGAATGTAATTGATTGGGTGATTCTATTTACATTTTTTCCAAAGCTTGGTAATTCATGGACTTTAAGAAATTCTTTATAACTTGAGTAGTTAATATCTTATTAATTGTCATTTTTGCTTTCCATTGTGATATTCTTTTAGTATTGCTATGAACTCTTGATATAAGACCATTATTTATTAAATTTCTAATATTTCAAAGTGATTCTCACAAATTACAAGTATATTATGATCCCAGCAGTAGACTGGTTTTCTTTTTAAGACATCTGCTCATGCTTATTACACCACCATCCATCAAAAATATGATTTGTCATTATTTAAAGAAAACTTGAAAGGATTCATGTAATTTGAAAACTCTTTTTAAGGAGCCATTGATGAGTAGCCCCACTTTTTAAAAATCAATTCTTTTTATTTATTATCTTCCATTTACATATATTCAAAGTTTCATTTGATTTAAGATTTAAAATTACATGTTGGAAAATGAATGATTTTTGTAAAATAAAAACATCATAAAAGAATAAACAATATTTACATAAAATTATAAAAATAATTTTCAATTGATCCACCCACCTTTTTAAAAACCAATCTGAAACAAGTTCTTCGCCTCCTTTTTTTAATTTCTCTCTTTTTCAATGTCATCATCAATCAAACGCTTTTTTACCCTAAACAATAAATTATTTGTTCTTTTTGCAAAAATGTATTTAAGCAAAACCATTAATTCTTGATGTGATCAACTGAACAAACAACTCCACCATCACCTTCTAACATACTTAGTTCACCACTTGGTTGATTCATAATTTTTTCTTTTTTAACACGATCTGATGCCTTTTATCAATACTTTTGCAAGTAGAGACATAAATTAGTTTTGAAAATATTCTAATACATCTTAATTACAAGTACAAGAAATCAAGCAAGCTTACCTTCTAACTCTGATCTTATCATGGTGCGATTTACTTGGACATTGAGTTGATGTAGTAGTAACTCATGTTAATGTTACAGACTTTGCATTAGTGCAAGTGTTTGTATCCACCTATCCCATTCATTATCACTGCTTCTACTACTTTCTCGTCATCTTCCTCTTCTCCTTCCATAGAGTTATATTTTCTAATTGTTGAGTACCTAGTGATAGTTATATATCTTCTTGCATAGCATCATTATTCATTTCAATAATTTACATAACCCCAGAAACGTGGCAAATAACATTAATGACACCATTACCATCATTGGGTATATTTTTTTTAAAAAAATAGATTGTGATAAAGCAAACTTTTACAAAATAATGGTAATGGATAGATATATCGATACTCCATAATTTGTATCAAAATTTTTACTGTGTATAGATTTCTTTTGGTTTTAGTGATGTCAACGTTAATATTTTTATAATCACTTTGTAAATTATTCATTAAAGCATTTACATACATCATCATATCCTCCACTGTTGAAATTAGCAAATCAAATATGGTTCGCATACAACAATATCAAGAATTAGGAAATCATTTTGAATCGACAAATGCTACAAATTGAGGCTAAATTAGGTTTCATTAAATTTCACTTTGTAGATATTTTGCCACGTAAAATCTAATAAGGAATCAGGCGATCCATGAAAAAGAAGAACCTTTTGGTTTTCTTATCAATCTTCACAAGTATTTTCATTCTGATTTTGATATTCTTATTGATAGTAACGTAGCCACAACCCAAAATGTGGCAAAAATGTTTACCGACAAAATAATTGTTTTGACTACAAAACTAATTGTCGTATCCGAGATGAAAATATTTATCATGTTAAAAGATAATGACTTTGAAAAAACAAAAATAGAATATAAGTTCCATATCTTAATATGCACACATGTAAAAAGATTGAAGGTGAGTGGGTGAGTCTGTTTGATTATGATTAGTAATTACTTTAATATTTAGTGTAATAAAAAACAGTTTTTTAAATTATTTATTAATTTTTGATTTATATCATAGAGCTGATATTGTGGAATTTATAGTGAGGGCAAAAGACTAAACAAAATCCACAAAAAAAAAATTTGTTGGTAAAGTTGAGCATTATTTTATTAAAATATTAAATTATTCACTTTTTATGTGTTATTGATGAGTGAATTGGTGCTTTAATATTCTATATATCCCAGGATTTGGGTTCGAACCAGATGTTCGATTCAACTGGTAAAATTGATCCGTAGATATCTGTCATCCGTTTATTCGTCATTTACTTTTAAAAATTAACCCGTCATCCGGTATTTCTCAAAAAATATATTAATATCGAACGGATTGAATGTAAACGGTAACCCGGTGATACTTTATTATTGTTATTTAAAAGATTGATTATTACCGTTAAATCACTTTTTTGTCGTTTCAACAATCTGATGATGTCTTGAGTATAAATGAGCAATCAAATTTACCGTTGAGCCATCTGTTGCACGACGTTTTTTACAATTTTTTCAATTGTAATTAATACTGATACTTTTTTACCGTTAGGAAAATTTACTTTTACGAACCAATTCCACACCAACTTTTTTGAAGTCGCACCTTTTTATTTATTTTAGCAACTTTAGTTCGTTTCTTAGGAATTACATTCAACACTTTTCCATCCGATTCTTCTTCTGAATTTATACAAGTAGGTTCACTTTCATTATCATCATCATTATAATTATAATCGTAAGTAATGTTACAAATAAGTAGCAAATAAGGACAATGAAAATGAATCAGATAAAGATGATCATTATATGTATATTGATATATTTTTTTTAAACGCTACAAAAATACAGTCGGCGCTCGATATAAGAAAGACAAAAGACTTCACTGTGATTCATTATATAAAAAGATCGATAAAATTTTTTTACAAAAAATCCCGTGATAGATTCGATAAGTCATCCCGCAGTAATCAATTGTTTAAAGTACTCAATAGTATAAATTATGCGGCTGACTTATCGAGTCTGTGTGTGTATTACCAAATTAATACTAATTAATTACTTTATTTTTTGCGACACATTACCAAATTCAATTACACATTTTACTATATTCAATTACTTTATTTTTCACTACTATTACTATTAATAAATTTAATTACTCTATTTTTTGCGACACATTACTAAATTCAATTACTTTATTTTTCCGACACATTACTAAAATTCAATTACTTTATTTTTCGCGACACATTACTAAAATTCAATTACTTTATTTTTCAACACTATTACTAAATTTCATTCTTGTATATATGTTTGTTATATATATATATATATATAAAGAAAATGTATAATTTATTATTACGTTGGAATTAAATCATTATTAACATATTATATTATATTATATCATATATCATATTATTATACAGTCGTCATTTCATTGATTCTCATGCATTAAATGAACACTATCGTGGAAAACTTCATAAAAGAGTCTTCTAGATGCATGATATTAATTAATCCAGAGTGTTATACTGTTATTAATACAAGGTAGCTATACAAA